CTTTCCAAATGCTTAAATTGGAAAATTTACTGTGATGATCATTCTTCACTTTCATCTACAACCGCAGTTCAAATATGAATTATTTCATATATTCTTCAAAACAGAAACTTGTTAAAAATCCAAACTGGTGGAGGCAGACCAGTTGGCTATACACCAGTACACAGCATACAGGAGTTGAATGTGGGACCACCGAAAACAAATCCTGAATTAGTGGCAGGGTAGGCTCCTATGCAGACACTTTTTAGACTCGTCACACAATCTTCCTCCCCAAGGAACGTCAGCTGAAACATACAGCACATCCCTATCCCTTTGTTTGTAAAGGTCACCTGGAGATCATTGTGAAATAAAAAGCCACTCTTAAACTTAACAGGTTCCCGAAGACATGATTGATCATCGCAGTTATATATGCAACTTAAGCAGTTGTGAAATTAAAGCCTGAAAAAAAAAATTCAGGCCAGAGCGGGATTCGAACCCATGACCTTTGCGATACCGGTGCAGTGCTGTACCTACTGAGCTATCAAGCCAACTGGGAGCTGATCATGTTGTGAGTTCAGTATATACCTGTAGATGGTGAAGAATGCAAGTGAATAATTATATGAAAGATCATATATTTGAACTGCGGAGAAAGATATGAAGACACTGGTATCGCAGAGGTCATGGGTTCGAATAGTGTTCAGGCCTGAACTTTTTTTTTGAGACTTAAATTTCACAACTGCTTGGATTGCTTATATCTTGGATTGCATCTTGTTAGAGAGTGCAAAACTCAACAAACACTCAAACATCTTTTTCACTGCAAAAATATATGCTATAGTTTCTAAGAGGATTTGAAAATGATATTGTCAATGTCTCCCACACTCTTTAAAAGGCCACACTAGCATTGTGCTGTGATTGGGGTACATAAGTAGCCCTGTATTTTGGCAGGTGTTCGTAGCAGGGGGAGGGAGATTGCATGGCCTCTGGATTACAAGTCCAGCACCCTAACTACTAGGGCTAAACCCACTAGAAATTATGTTTTAAACTAGGGAGTGAGAGAACTTTATTGCGTGCTTTTATTACTTCACTAGTATAATCAGTTTGAGAATATTTAAATTTATACTGGGGAGAGGGTCCAAATCTGAGACATGGGCAATGCTAGCTCTTCACTTCAAGATTTAAGATGTTGCATTTTAGACAGGGCAAGGGGGAAGGGTTTACACTGTAAATAGATAGGGAGTGCTTATAGACAGATGAAAAGGGAACACTGGTAGGTTCTAGTTTTTTTGCTCTATTTTTGTTATATTAATCATAAATGTGAAGGCGTGGTGGCCTAATGGATAATGTGCTGAACTCCAGATCAAGCGTTACGTTGTGTTCTTGGGGAGGGCACTTAACTTTCACAGTACTTCCAGCTTCATCTATGTGTAAAAATGGGTACCAGAGAATTAAATGTCAGGGTGTAACCCTACAATAGACTACATGAAGCATCCCACCCAGAAGGGAGTAGAAATACTCCTTACCACTTCATCTACATAAACCATCATCAGATGACCATAAGCTTTGGCTGTACATGTATGGGCCATGACCCTTTTTACCAAAAGTATGATCATTTAATTGTTGCACAGTGTTATTGATTATTGTGTGACAGTATGAGCAGTAATTCCCCCACAACTGCAAATACAATATGTCAATTTGTGCCCAGATTGGTATGATAATAGAGTGGTAACGACAGTCTGAAATTTACTGTATTGGTTGTAAAGGCAAAGTGGGTTTGGGGGGGGGGGATTATCAGGGGATGACTGGGGATAGTGTAGGAAAATGGAGCGAGGAAGGATAGAACATCTTAAGATCTCCGGTTAATACATGTAACAGCCATATCACTTGAATTTCTTGCTCCTTGTGAAAAGGGAGGCACTTATAAAAGAGTTGGCCCAATAAAAAATTTGGGGTTAAGTTTCTATTTATCTGTCCTTTTTGGAAAAACAAAAATCTTTATGACTGACTCAGGGATAAATCATTATATGTTTGAGTAAATTAGGATCTCAAATAGTTAGAGTTGTTGTTAATATTTATTGTGGATAACGCAATTTGTTTTAATTGTAAATAATGTAATTTAACAGAGAAGAGTGACCTCATGGATCTGTTTAATAAACCATAATTATTATTATCATTATCATTATCATTATCATTGTCATTGTCATTGTCATTGTCATTGTCATTGTCATTATCATTGTCATTGTCATTGTCATTGTCATTATCATTATCATCATTATTATTATTATTATAATTATTATTATTATTATTTTTATTATTACTTGCAGAGTAGATTTTAAATAGAGTTTTATTTCTTGAGCTTTTGCAACTTAAAGTATTTGTCAGAGGGAGATGTGGTGGTGAGCTGTTGGTTAGGGTGCTTGCCCTGGTTGATCCTGAGTGAGGTCATTGCTCTGTGTTGTAGGCCAAGACACGCTATCCTCATAGTCCCTCTTTCCACCCAGGAGTATAAAATGCATACCATGGCTAACAAATTGAATGCTAGAGATGAAGTGACCTGGGGAGAACAGAATTGGTTAAACCTACAGAAACTCTAGACTAAGAGTAGTCCCTCGTAGTGTACAGAAACTCTGCCAATAAGGGAAAATTAACTTGACACAGACTTTAAACTCTTTTGAATGAAATTAGTCTCTTGCATTGTGTTAGCATGGTATATAATTTGTAGTCTATGAGATGCACCACTACCCTTCATACCCTGAGGTTCTTTGGTTTGTATAATGGATTAATTGAACCTAACTGAAATTTTAATGAAAAATGCACATCTGCTGTGTTTTGAAATTCCAGGATGATTGCAGAGATTTCATCAAGAAGTTAAAAGCAGTTACCAAATCTGAACTTTCTAAGGTACATGTACATGTAGACTATATCCTGTACATCATTAAATTGTTCAGACAAAAAGATTTACATGTACAAAATCTTACCATATTATTGTGAACAGCATAATTCTATCCACATGTAGGTATTAGTCTAGTTAATTTAAAGCAATTTCTCATGTGACCACTTTCTGCACCTGTATCTCAAGGAAATGTATTAAAATACAGTTAATCATCGATGTTCATTTTTGTTAATCTCTATAGGCGCATTTTAAGCAATAAAATACATTATGTAAAACAATTGAAAATGAATTGTGACACACTGACTGAAAGCAGCTGTGTGTTGGATACTTACAGCAGATTTATTGGAATGGAAATCATATACTTTTGTTATGAACTCAGATATACTTCTAACATGTCAATGTCAGTTGAATATGGAAGCCATTTTTTTTAGTTGTTAACAAACAGTATTGTTAGTCTAAGGGGTGGTAGGGGATCGATAAAGGGAGGGGGGTGGGGGAGGATTGATGTGGATGCATGTGTCCAAAGCATTTCTCTGTTTAACCAATGCTTAAAATTTATACTTAAACTGTTTATTTTTTTTTTTCAGATTGATGCACTAAATGTTAAACTTCTTCAAAGGGAAATCGAAATGTATTTGGATGGCTCTAAGCATAAAAGGTAGGAAACATTATGCAATATACACTATACAGTCATGTGGCAGAGTGCTATTTAACAATATTCTATGAGCACACATTGGATATGAAATAAAATAGAAGCAAAAATGCCTCCCAAAATTACGAGAACCCCTACCGTATTACAGTATGGTGTAATGACTTAAGTACTAAGATGGCTTAGTTAATGAAAACTCTGGAATTTGCATTATCCAATGATCCAGTTTTTAAAAAAACACAATATAATACTAACAATAAAACAATACCATACCATATGAAGCTGAAATGGAACGAAACAGAACGGAACGAAAGAACGAACGAACGCAACACGACGAATCGCAAACGAAACGCAATGAATCCAATCCGCAACGCAATAATACCTCTAATTTCATGTAATTTCATGTAATTTTACAGTATATATGTTATTTCCAATTAGCTACCAGTTTCCTCCAATAAATTTGGGCGGAGCCCAGTTAGGTAGTTTCATAGTTGACGTTTGCAACACAAACGCAGCGCAGCCCAACGCAATGCAACTCAACGCATTAACGCAACGCAAAGGCTCCAAAACGCAACGGAACGGAACGTACAAAAA